ATTTTAAATCTGTAAAAATTGATGCACCTTAGTTATCCGATTGAATCAATCATTCTTTCTTTCATACTTTATTTGATGTAGAGCAGAAAGGTATTCCCAAATAAAAGAAAGAAAGATATTTTCAATCGAATTGTATCTTTGCATGTTAAAGATTTAAGCAAAATTGATGCCCAGAGCAGTGGAGGCCAATCGAAATTAAACTACACGCATAACGCGCGAATTTAACTCTAGCATTTCATGATTTATTAAAAATGATTCTGTATCTTGGGATAGGGTTTTCAAATGGTTGGAAAGAAACATTTATGAGTGGTGAACAAGAACCCTGGGTATTTCGTGGTGGACTTACGGCTGATTTACAGGTACACTTAATTTGCTGACATTTATTTATGTTTGTTTATAAAAAAAATGAGATGTATTGAAGAAACATTTTATTCACATGTTTAGAGATTAATCCCAGTTGATAGTGGCAATGACTTATTCGTCTATAAAGCACCAGAAGTTCCCAATAGTAAAATATATACAATTCGGCCATACTTACCAAGTGACGAAGAGGCGGTTTATACGGTGTGCAATCAAATTAATAATTGTACGACTTCATCAGCTGTAGCAGACAGGTATGTATATTTTTTAAATATATTTACTTATTTTTATTTTGAATAAACTTTTAATATCTACCTATTTGTTAGACTTATCGGAGGATTTCTAACGTTGAGTCCGGAATTATGTATGATTGTTGAGGATGAAAATGGTATAGCAGGTTACACAGTGGCTACGCTAAATGTAAAGTCTTACAATCAAAAAATGGCTATTTCATGGATTCCTGAATTGCGAATGAAATATCCTTTAGACAATAGTATTAGCGAGTTGCCACAAAATGTTCAGGTATGGGAAATTAATGATTTTACTTATATCTTTTTATATGATATTCTAACAACTTTTAAATGAAAATTGCAGGATGCTATACAGTACTTCCATTCATTTATTCCGGATGTGTCGGAACAATTGTGCAGACAGCATCCGTCAAAACTTATATGCGGTATACTATCAAGTGTAACAGATCAGTCTATTTGTAAACGTTTAGTAACCTGCGTTCTTGCAGCTTTAAGAGCAAATGGTACGTTTTTTATTGAAATCTTTTTTATTGAAATAAAATAGACAATTCAATCTTTATTGAAAATTGATTATGTGTACATACTTTTTTGTGATATTATACTTAATATTTGTGATATAATAATATATTTAATGTTCAAATTTTACATTTTTATTTTTAAATATAAATGTATTTGTGGGATGTTTTGTGAGATAGGTTCTTTTGGAGTACACACAACGATGTTGGCAACAGACAAAGAATCTCACGAATTTTATGGCAAACTAGGCTTCGTTGATTTAAATCCGGCGCATGAGGAATATTCTGGAATCAAAACTATGTGTAGAAGTTTCTAACAAAGAATCAATGCTCCAACGATTTTCATCAACAAAGTATATTTGCTTGGACTATCTCCTAAGAAAACGATGGATAGCTCCTAAAATATAGAAGCTAGTAATAAAATTATACGCCTTTATTCAAGATCTTTTTAAAATGTAATCATGCTAATGCGATAGGTTAAAAGTACTTTTTTGGGAATGTCTGCAATCGAAAATATCTGTAATATTATTTCTAATATATTTGATATAATAATCTTTCTTACAGTGTCGAGATCCTTAATCATATTTGATACAAGTGTACATAAATATGTATATATAACATAATGCTAAATTTTAATATTATAATGATTTTAATATTATGATTATTTCTGTTATGTTATAAAAGAGATATAATAAGCGTAATCAGATTCATTTTTAATATAACATGAATTACATTCTTTACTTTATTAACAATCACGTCTACATATTATATATTATTATATTATATAACACTTTACACTTCTCATTGATTTAAATCCGATTAGATTATCTGGATCGTAGTATGTATATAAAATTCTCAATATGCGTAATGAAATGCCAGTGTGTTCATTAATAAATTGTTGAAACAAATTTATTAAAAAGTATTTTCTTATCAAGATGATACATACGAATGACTGAATACAATTTTAAAGTGCACTTTCTTTTAAATACGCTTTAAACTTTCTTTGAATGAATGTGAAAAATTATGACACGATTTAGATTTTAAATATGTAGTTATAATGTATATCTGATGTCAGATATATATTATGAATATACATATAGATTTCGTAGTGCTTACTGCTCAATAACTTTTAATATACATTAAAGCTTCAGTAGCAAGGTTTTTTTTAGGTTTCTTATACAATCTTGCATATAGTTTTTGTTGAATTATCTCAATTGGCCCTACAATGTAATACACATGTATGTATGTGTTATATATATAATGAATGAAATTATGAAATGTGATATGTAAGTCATCTATATAAAAAACGTTACTTTGTAATCCATTATTATTGGAGCAAAATATATATTAGATGTTTCCTTCTATACTAATTATTCCATATAGATATTACTTCAATTAAATATTTTTAATATTAGAGAACGCACTTTCAAACAATAAATGCATTAATTCTAGAAAAAATTTTTTATTAATATTTTAATTCAAGTATAAGCGAATACAAACAAAATAGCGCAATGTCATAACGAGAACAATAACATACATTTTATAT